TCCTCCTCCTCCTCCCCCGCCACTCCCGCTGCCATCCCGCAGCTCCTTCTCCCTCCTCTCCCTCTCCACCGCCTCCTGCTCGCTCTTGCTGCTGGGGAACTTGTCCTTGTTGTTCTCCTTCTTCCACTTCATCCTCCGGTTCTGGAACCAGATCTTCACCTGCCGCTCCGTCAGCGCCAGCGCGTGCGACACCTCGATGCGGCGTTTCCGGGTCAGGTAGGGGTTGAACAGGAACTCCTTCTCCAGCTCCAGAGTCTGGTAGCGGCTGTAGGTCTGCCGGCCCCGCCTCCTGCCCGCAGCTACTGGGGAGAGGTGGGGGGGTGAGGAGAGGGGGGACACGGGAGAGGGGGAGACATTGTTAGAGGCAAACTAGCTTCATTCTTACGTCTTAGTGGTCCATTATCACCGCCCTGACGTGGAGAGGTGATGATAGGGATAATAACTGTACAAGCATTATGCCGTGAAACCGAGATGGTTATCTTACCCTGAAATTCTACTACCTGCTACCTTACAACTTCAGTTTTCTATGACAGCTACAACATGTCGAGAAAGACTCATGTAACATCCGAAATAACTGAAAAACACAACCCACACAATGTAGACAATATTATATAAAAATGTCAATAAATACTAACATAATAGTCCCAGGTGACATCTTCATACTTCTTTATTTGTCCAACAAACAACCCAAAACCCAAAGATCTCTCAATAAACAGTCACATCATACTTATACAAAGCAGCAACTCTGAAGCTGAAACAGAAGAATATTTGTCTTTCTTCAAAAAAAAGATGAACAAATAATTGAGAAAACCAACAAATTAGTTAACTAACGATTAATCGACTAATCATTTCAACACTGCCTGTATTTTAGAACAAGTGATGGCAGAATTTCACTACATTTGAAACTATAAAGATTGTTGGTTAGGGTTTGGTAAGTGTGTGAGGTTGAATACTTCAGTTTATTTGACTGATGTTAGGAGGAAGTACTTCTGTTTAAGTTATCCATCACACAGAATACCAATGAATTCCTTGGTTCTCTGCTTGAGTTAACACGGTCAACATTTGCCTTCGAGTTTGCCAGAACGCTGTGATCCCAAATACACTGATAGATGCTCATAGATACACACTGTACATGTATACATAAGACATCATTTCTTTAGTAACATCCACATCAGTGCACGTTGTACAACCATGTGATCCTCATGTGACTTTAATGTCCAGGGGTCTCTCTCTCTCTCTCTCTCTCTCTCTCTCTCTCACTCACACACGCACGCACGCACTCACGCACACATTATTCCTACTACTACTCTTTAAACACGAGTCCAAGAACAGAAGTCTTTCAATGCATACTCGCACCATCAGCCAACTGCTCAGTCATTGTTAAAAAAAGAAAAAGAACACTCTTATATAACGCAGACTAATCGACTGAGCACTTACAGAAGTGAACATGAATATTTGATGCTATAAATACATCGTAAACACTTTTAAAAGGAAAAAGGATCCCGCACAGCAAAGATCAGAACAGCGATTAAAGCTCTCCCTTTAATGACGAACAAAGACTTTTAATTAAAAATGGTGCAAAGATGAAGACAGATAAAGACATATTATTTCCAAACCAACATCAGGTCATCATTTACTCTGCTCGCTCTGTCTGTTTTCGCAGCTTTGAAAGCAGCGCAGTCAGAGAACCCCGGTACTCACACAGACGCATTATAAAATTCATAAATAATTAATAAACGCGCACGAGATATGTGTGCACACGCATTGGAGAAAAAGCTCATGGCTTTTTTTCAATTAATAACCAGTGATAGCATCATTCACCTGCGTGTTATGAACCAGGACAGGACAGACGGATGTTGCCCTTGCAATGTATTTTCTTTTTAATATTTCATACACGCTAATTCTATCAAACTGGATAATTATAAATGCTTAAAGTAGCCTAATTCTCTAACTTTGGTGGCAGCACTGAAAATATCTGTTATTAAAAAAGATTTATGCTGCTTCCTCTACGGCCCCCCTAATAAAGTCCACGTTATTTCAGTATAAAGAGGGCGAATAAAACTGAAAGCCTGGCAGCAAACTCCCGACACTTTACACTTACAGGACATTTGTGCAAGTGATTATATTTCCATAAAACTGTTTGTCTTCCTCTTCGATTATTGTACCATAAAAAAGGAGCTCTGCGCCGTGCACGGATAAAACATGCCAGCGATCATAAAGCTCTGAAGTGAAAACGGCTGCTTCTAAATCACTGATCTGAAGGGAAATTCAGATTTTTGCATCAATTGGCAAGTTAAGCATCCCTAAAAAGAAAGGTGTTTTTTTTTTTGTTGAAAAATTTAAGTGAATTCTCTGATGTCTATTATTCCTTCATAATTTCTTTTTTTTTTTTTAAAACAATAAAGTCTGATCCCCCATCCACACACACACACACACACACACACACACACCGTCCTTCCAGGACAGTAAAGTTTCTGGATTACATTAAGGAAGAGCACAATGACTTTGATGGAAGCGCATTTACTGCTATAATCACATAGAAGTCTTATCTACTCTGATCACATTATATAAAGCCTGCAGGTTACGGGTGAAAAATATCTTCAATATCCATTGTATGCATAGACATATCTACCACGAAGCAAAGTCCAGCGGGGTGTTTTTCTACTTTTAAGAAAGTGCTGTGACTCTCATGGTCTCAAAGTGTCTTTGTATGGACACAGAGCTGCTTTTTATGGTAAAACAGCCAGGAGAATAAGAAGACAAGGGAGTCTTTATGGAAACGCATGAACTTGTAAGTGATGTAAATGTCTTCTTGTATGTGTTATCTGTCACAGGGCTGGCGCCGTGATTTCGTGCTATAGGGACTAAAGGGAAGTGGGCGCCACATTCACTGCTGTCACCAGCCATGAATTAAAGGAAATGAGAAACACTTTTCCAGGATAAAATGACAGCGCGGACGCTTTGATCCGAAGAGGTTTTGATGGAGCAACATGCACGGGGAATTTAACCCCCAACCCCGGCTGCGTCTGTGCACCGCACAAAGTGTGTGGAGATACACCTTCCATATACAGCAGAGGCGGATCAAAGAGCTTTCGGAGGAATAAATCCTAAAATTTGCATCATTTATTTGACATTTTCCTGGTTTAGCGTCAGCTGAAGGATTACATGCTCTTTAACGGCCTGAGAAAATGATACAAGCCTTGGGATTGTGAAACATTTTGAAGACCTATTACATATGAAACCTTTACGAAGCCAATTAAATAAGCCCTAAACAAATGCATGGCAGTTGGTAGTTGACATTTTGGACGAGAGGTTTGCACTCCACAACAGATGCCAATGAGAGCCGAGGCAAAAGACACTAATACCATTAGAGACATACATTCATTCTTCGACCTAATCAGATTTTACTCTCCTTTTTTCATTTTAAAGTCGTACAGAGACAATGATTTATCAACATTTCCATCCGCAGCGGTAAAAGTCGTAAAAACGGCTCATATTCAGGAGTTTAGAACCAAACTCGGATATTAAACCTGCAGCTTGGGGGCTCGGGAGTATTTCAAGACATATTCAGCGAGCAGGAGCCTCCTTCGGTGCTGGGATTATAACATAAAAGCTGTGGAGGTGTGGAGGAGGCGAGATTCCTCTTTATAAGACAAATTATGAAATGTAAGCCCTCGTTAAAGGGGAATTTCCGAGCTAAACGGGGAGGATACCCGCCTCCGCCGCTGCGCTCCATCCTCCCGTTTCAGCCACAAAAGACCGTCCGCCTTTTTCTGCTATTATAACTAATAAATCCTCACGCTGAGCAACGATAATATCCCATCAGACCGTGCACGGGCTCTAACTGCGTGTGCACAAAGCATTCTCGGACTTGAGCGGCGCAGAGCAGCGCGGCTTGACACGGCTGGTTTCCTGTTTTTGCCTCGACTTTTCGGTCTGAGCTGCCTGCACCCGGGCCGGCACGCCATTAAACCCAAATATACTGTTTGAAAACTATTAATCATGGGACTAATCACTGCCATCGCTGGCAAAGAAGGACTGAAGCCCTTAAGAAGTGGTGCTCGGTGTGGCCGCTCGTATTTAAAAGCTGGGAATGATTTGAGAAGCCGTTACGCACACAGGGGAGCAGGTCGAGACAAGTGCTAGGAAAATATAACATAGGCTTTAAAGATGTAAATTATGACAATGTACAGGCCGCACAAACAGGAAACCTTCAACGCAAACACACAAGGTGCACACACACACACACA